TCACAAACTTCAAAAAGGCTGCGGTAATCCGCGTGTTCATTTACGCACCTTCACAATTTGACATTCTTCTTCGTTTTCTATGACGTTTCTACTGATTGGGCAACACCAACACATTTCAACTGCGAATTAAACGGCGCAAAAATTTGAAATTATATATTACATAGTCAAATGGAAAAATATTAGATGTTAGTCTAATATTAGTTTAAAATTATTAACTTCCCGTAAGTTATAGTAATCGCAAAAAAAATCGAAAATGAAAATGTTTATATATCTTTACGTTTCAGAGGTTTTTGAATATTTTGGCATACCTTAGAAAAATGGATGTATGTGTGTGTGTGTGTGCGTGTATCTGTGTGCGGATACAAATTTTTGTCGACGATTTCGGGAACACGAATGAAGCGATTTGAATAATTCAAAAAACATTCGATTCGTATTGATAAGGAGACGTGCTGATTAGTTTTTGGCGAAGGCCGGTCTAGCCGTTCCGAAGATATGGGGCAAAAAGTGCCAAAAACGGTAACTCAGGTTTTAGGAGAACGAAGCGTCCGATTTGAATAATTCAAAAAACATTTTACTTGTATTAACAAGATAAAGAACTGATCAAATTTTCATAAAGGCAGGTCTAGCGGTTTCGGAGATCTAGTAAAAAAAGTAACAAAAAAATCTGGCGGTCAAAAATGATCATCACATCAAATTATCAGATATTTTATAGACATTTTAACAATAAGTATAAATTTTGTTTACATTCCTATGGGTTCCGTACCAATGCTTGACCGTTAGACGGCGGCGCGGCGCTTACGCGCTTTGATATTTTGTCTCTATGCAGTTAAAGCAGTACGATTGCTTTGAAAAAAAGTTCAGAATTTTCAAAATATTCCAAAATACACTTTTCTTCAAAAAGCCTTTTTTTCAAAAAAAAGTAAATTTTTGTCAAAAATTTATAGTTTCTCAAAAATCTAATTTTTCAGAGTAAATTTTTTTTCTAAAATGTTAATCTATAAAAAAAAAATAATTTTTGGTACGGAAAGTTCCAGCAATTTGCCTTAAGGCACGATGCCATGCCCCACTAGTTTAAAATTTTATTTTTATTGAATCATTTAGTGTTGAATTTCCCAAACTCTTGAGAATGCTTTGATAAACTAAGATATGGTATACCTATAGAACACATTGTTTTAAACATAAAGGGTGCATTCGACTTGGACGCTTACGCGCTGTGAGCGCTCACGCTTATAAGCACGAATTTTTAGCGTTCGACTAGGCCGATAAGCGCTCAGAATCGATAACTAAATTCCGTTCGTTTTGGATACTGTGAGCGTCAATAAGCATCAAAATGACGGCAACTGGCGGTAACGGTAATTGTGTAAATTTTATTACTTTCTGGATCATTCAGCGGGATTATAAAGAATTTAACAATTAATAAATAAATTAAATTTGGTTAGCTTATGCTTAATTAATAGTAATATTAAAATTAAAATTTAAAATTATTTAAAATTAATTGAATTTAAAATTAATTAATTTAATGTTAATATTAATACTAAAAAATAAATGTGATATACAACTTGGCATTTTTGCGAGATTATAAAGAATTTAATAATTAATAAATAAATGAAATTTGGTTAGCTTATGCTTAATTAATAGTAATATAAATTTAAAATTATTTAAAATTAATTGAATTTAAAATTAATTAATTTAATATTAAATTAATACTAAAAAATAAATGTGATATACAACTTGGCATTTTTGCGAGATTATAAAGAATTTAATAATTAATAAATAAATGAAATTTGGTTAGCTTATGCTTAATTAATAGTAATATTAAATTTAAAATTATTTAAAATTAATTGAATTTAAAATTAATTAATTTAATATTAATATTAATACTAAAAAATAAATGTGATATACAACTCGGCATTTTTGCGGGATTATAAAGAATTTAACAATTAATAAATGAATGAAATTTGGTTAGTTTATGCTTAATTAATAGTAATATTAAAATTAAATTTAAAATTATTTAAAATTAATTAAATTTAAAATTAATCAATATTAATATTAATATTAAAAAATAATTGTGGTATACAGCTTGCCATTTTTGCGGGATTATAAAGAATTTGACAATTAATAAATAAATGAAATGACAGATAGTAAAAACAACTGACGCTCACGCTCACGCTGCCCTACCTCTGTGGCGTGAGCACGTATGAGCGCAAAATATGTGCTACGAGCATCCCACGATGGTGCTACGACATAGACCTTACACAATTGTATTGTATAAGGTCTATGTGCTACGAGCGTACTTATGTGACACTCACAGCGCCAAGTCGAACGATGAAAGCGCGCTCACGGCGTGCTCACAGCGCGTAAGCGTCCAAGTCGAACGCACCCAAAGTGCTCAATCATAGAACGGACTGTGACGTCACATGTCTGAGCGAACATAGCCGACGACAATCGCGGACTCTCTCGATTGATTAATTGTCATATGTCATATGTTTTATTTGAATTATATAAAGGCAATTGTGATAACTAATGATTTTGTAAGAAATGGTATTAATAATATTTATCATAATAGTTAATTTAATTCAAATATTTGTGATAGTTTTATTTTAACTAGTTGAAAGTGGCTTTAGCCTTAAGGCAACTAAAATTGAGATTCAGATATTTATATAAAAATTTCAACTAATTATTTCGAAACTACAGTTATCGCTTTAAATTAAATCTAAACATTGCGATTTCGAACAGAATTTTTTCAAACACATTTGAAGTATTTCTAATTATGTTCATTATATTGCACGGACACGTGCTTTGTATGTCCTAAAATTCCAGCTCATTATTCCACATTTTAATGAATTGACGATGTTTGACTCATCGCATCACAAAAGCAACTTTTGACACAAATTTTTAATATAATATTTTTTCAAACTTTGATGAAATTTTAAAGTTAAACTAACTTGCAGTGGGTGCGTAAAATTTTAGTATGCTGTTCAGAATCGTGATATCTATCAACATAAAAAGTTTCATCAAAAAAAATTTTTTAACAGTTATTTACAAAGAACCGACTCGGCCGATCTCTGTCCAAAACTAAGTAGGACAATTCAGGATTGTGAGCTAAAACGTGGACGAGAAGTATTACAATTTTATGCAAATTACAAAAAAACTGCTTATCGAGATACATGCATTTTAGAGAAAATGTTGATTAAAGGTCTAATTTTGACAAACGCCAAAAAACGCGATTTTTTCTTTTAAACTCTGACGAATCTTTGCCAAAAACTAATCAGGTCGATTCCCAACTAATATATCTTACCAACGGTTTTTGAATTTTCAAAATCGATTGCGAGCTAAAACGTGGACGAAAAAATTTTCACTTTTCTGCGATATACAAAGAAACGGCTCAGCCGATCGTAGCACAAAACGCTAGTCCTTGTCGAGATACATCAAATGAATTTTAGCTGGAAGTACTAAAACATAGTCAGATGGTTTTTGTTTGATTATTGGTTGTTATGTTTTTCGTTTAGTTTTCACAATATATAATTGCTCAAAGTTAAATTGGACCCGCCTTACCTTATATATGTGTTTTTTTTTTAAATAATCTGGGTCTTTGATGTGAGTCAAAATTTGACCTTTCCTCGACGTTTTCTTGTCTGAACCGATGTTAAAATTTAAAAACTATAAAATGTAACTGGATAAGCGCTTGCGTTAATTAGTTTTTTGAGACAATTGGTCGATCCGTTTTTTTACTATTGGCAGAAAAGTGCAAAAAATA